CATGGTGATCATATCCCCTTATGTATTATACATGGAGATCATATCCCCCTTATGTATTATACATGGAGATCATATCCCCCTTATGTATTATACATGGAGATCATATCCCCCCTTATGTATTATACATGGAGATCATATCCCCCCTTATGTATTATACATGGAGATCATATCCCCCCTTATGTATTATAAATGGTGATCATATCCCCCCTTATGTATTATACATGGAGATCATATCCCCCCTTATGTATTATACATGGAGATCATATCCCCCCTTATGTATTATACATGGAGATCATATCCCCCTTATGTATTATACATGTTGATCATATCCCCCCTTATGTATTATACATGGAGATCATATCCCCCCTTATGTATTATACATGGAGATCATATCCCCCCTTATGTATTATACATGGAGATCATATCCCCCCTTATGTATTATACATGGTGATCATATCCCCCCTTATGTATTATACATGGTGATCATATCCCCCCCTTATGTATTATACATGGAGATCATATCCCCCCTTATGTATTATACATGGTGATCATATCCCCCTTATGTATTACACATGGAGATCATATCCCCCTTATGTATTATACATGGAGATCATATCCCCCCTTATGTATTATACATGGTGATCATATCCCCCCTTATGTATTATACATGGTGATCATATCCCCCCCTTATGTATTATACATGGAGATCATATCCCCCCTTATGTATTATACATGGAGATCATATCCCCCTTATGTATTATACATGGTGATCATATCCCCCCTTATGTATTATACATGGAGATCATATCCCCCCTTATGTATTATACATGGAGATCATATCCCCCTTATGTATTATACATGGAGATCATATCCCCCCTTAATCTCCTCTTCTCAAGAGAGAATACATTCAGTTCCTCTAATCTTTCCTCATAGCTGATCTCCTCCATGCCTCTTATCAGTTTGGTTGCCCTTCTCGGTACTTTCTCCAGTTCCCAAATGTTCTTTTTGTGAATTGGTGCCCAAAATTGAACTGCATATTCCAGATGAGGTGTTACTAATAAATTTGTACCGGGGGAAATGATATCTCTCTCTGGAGTCTATACCTCTTTTAATACAAGAGAGGACCACCAACAGTACTTGTACTGCCGGCAGGCGGCATGTACAGGGAGAGCGATGTACCCGTCGCTCTGGCTGTACCAACCCAGGGGGGTGAAGCACGTCCACCAGACACAGCGGAATGCAGATCCTGGTAATCAGGACCCAGTGATCATATGACCACAATGTCAACAAACATGGTACATGGACCAATCACAGCACCCTGTACCATGTGATTAGCTGTAACCAATCACAGATCACTAGTATTTTGAACTGTCATTAACTTAACCCATTCATGACAGTGCAAATTCAATAAACTTTATTGCACCTGTAATGTAAAGTGTAAAAAAAAAATCCCAGGGTAGTACAATGTTACTATAGTACAAATGAACTACTCTGATGAAAGTATTACTATTTTTTAAATAGTAAAATAATTTAAAATAAAATTAAAAAAAATGTAAATATTGAGACATTTTTTTAACTACCTGCCGACCGCCCGCCCGCAAAGTGTGGGCGAATGACGGCTGTGGGCAAACTGATGTACCCTTACGTAACAATCTAGTTCTGGGTGTAAGCACACGTGCGCCACCCCTGACGGTCCAGGGAGAGAAGAAAGAACACCACACCGTAAGTAAAAGCACTATATTTTACACACACGGTACATTAGCATATTTAACCCTTTGACCACCCCTATTAACCCTTTGATCACCCCGTTACCCAGCCAGTGCTATTAGTACAGTGTCAGTATTTAGAATTTTTCACTGATCACTGTATTAGTGCCAGTAGGGACATCAGATAGCTTCAGGGTCAGTTAGCATCCCTCTCAGCCAGGGTCAGCTAGTGTTAGATTGCTCACACACTTTTTCACTCATGCTATAGGTCGCTGATCACCGCCATTACTAGTATAGTGTTTGTACAGATCATTATATTGATCATGAACAGAACTATACTGGTGCCCCCTTAGTATAGTGTCCCCAAAAATGCAGTGTTAGCAGCATCAGCTCCGTTCACTGCCAGCACTAGCCCCTCCGCTGTTTTTTTTCATGGATGATTTGTATCAATTGATTGTGGGCCAAAGCAATTTATACGCACAACAATACATCGCCGAACACCCAAATTCAGCTCTTACCAGACAATTCGCATGAAAACCTGTCCGAATTTAAAACTTTTTTGGGCTTAACCCTCAACATGGGCATTACAAAATAAATGAATTGAGGTCATATTGGTCCACAGACCTGTTTCATCATAATATTATTATTATTATACAGTATTTATATAGCGCCAAAGGGTATGCTCAGCGCGGTACATTAGCAAGGGGGACAGAACATGAGACAAGACAGTAACAATACAATACATGAGGGGTTCGAGGGCCCTGCTCTTTCGAGCTTACAATCTAGAAGGGAGGGGAATGTGGTACAGGAAATAGCTGTGGGGGATGGAGTGGTGGGAGGAATGGAGGAGGTTAGTTGTTAGGTGAGGTCGGGGGGGTTAGGTGAGGTTGGGGTAGGCTTCCCTGAAGAGGAGGGTTTTCAGGGTGCGCCTGAAGGTGAGGAGGGTAGGTGACAGTCTGATGGATTGGGGTAGGAAGTTCCAGAGGATGGGGGAAGTCCTGGAGAAGTCCTGCAATCGGGCGTGGGAGGAGGAGACCATGGAGCTAGAGAGTAGGAGGTCCTGTGAGGAGCGGAGGGCACGGGTAGGGTAGTATTTGGGTATCAGGTCAGTTATGTAGTTTGGGGTGGCATTGTGAATGGCTTTGTAGGTCAGGGTTAGCAGTTTGAATTTGATGCGTTGGGCAATCGGGAGCCAATGAAGGGATTGGCAGAGGGGGGTGGCAGATGTGGAGCGGTTGGTGAGGTGGATGAGTCTAGAAGCTGAGTTTAGGATCGACTGGTGTGGGGATAGTGCTCGTTTGGGTAGGCCAATGAGAAGGGAGTTGCAATAGTCCAGGCGTGAGATGATGAGGGACTGTACGAGTTGTTTGGTGGTGTCTGGGGTGAGGAATGTGCGTATCTTGGAGATGTTGCGGAGGTGGAGCCTGCAAGATCTAGATAGCAGTTGGATGTGGGGTAGGAAGGAGAGGTGGGAGTCCAGGGTGACACCCAGGACTTTGGCGTGTGGGGTGGGAGAGATGGTGGCATTGTTAGTAGTGATGGAGAGGATGGGGGGGGAGCGCGGGGTAGGGGGAAGACCAGGAGCTCGGTTTTTGGATAGGTTAAGTTTGAGGAAATGGAGCGACATCGTTCTCTGCTGCTATGGCCAGGCAAAGACGTTAATGGGCTTCATGCATTTCAGTGATAACACTCTCATAAAAAAAGAACATCACATATATGCCCAACAAAGACCAGCAACGCACTGGTACATCGCTGGACTTTGAGTGGTTATACCGGGGTGATTCCTGCAGCTGTAGGCATTATCCTGGTATCTTTTGTTCAGCTGGTGGTCAGCTTTCATGTAAATGCAAACCTAGCAGCTAAATAGCTGCTGGATCACTTTTACAAGCCACGGGAAGGGACAACCCCCCTCCACAGCTTTTTTCCACAGGGAACCTGAGAATGCAGCCAACAGTTCCGCCGGCTGCCCATAGAGCTGATCAGAGACCGGAATGGCTCCAATAATCTCTATATTCTAAGTAACCAGAAACAACAAGCATTTAATTATTTTGGTTTCACCAGATTTAAACAGAGACATTTTTAAACTGGGAAGGGATCTGATCACACCGATCTTGGTGTGATCAGATGCTTTAAGGACAGGAGAAATCTAGAGTCTAATAGACTAATAGACCCCAGGTTTCTTAGCAAAGAGTACCTGTCTCTGCCTATTGCTATCCCAGGGGATATTTACATTCCCTGTGATAACAATAAAAGAGATTTAAAAAAATTAAAGGGACAGCGTAAAAATAGAAAAAAAGATAAAAAAATAATAATAAATAAATAAAAACACTCAGGAAAGCCAAAAAGCAAAAGGCAGCACAGGGTACAGAATCTTCCAATTGGCAAAGGAAACAGGATGTGAGTGCTCCGTGTGACCTGGACCTCACTTCCTGACAGAAAGACAAGCTGACATGTTTTGAGGGAAAGACAGTCTTCCTCAAAGCTTCCTCAGAAGTATTCATTTGCATCTTCACTATCTCCACCGGAAGCTCAGCTTTAAAATATCACCTTGCAGTGGTGCACACTGCAAGGGTTAACTGTTTATTTTGCCTAGGGAGTGATAAATAGAATGAAACACCTTATTCCTCACCCCCCTGCAGGACCCCTTCCTACCAGTCCCCCAAAGCCTTTCCTTTTCTAAACTCAATCAGTCTCAGGTCTCCAATGTCATCACAGCTGGTCCTGCAATGTATGTGAGGACCTCGAGAGCCCTCCCACACCCAAGAGCATTGGCGAGTGGTAGCTGCTGAGGAAAAAAGGTAAACAGTAAGTGTTTCACCTTCTTCATCAACAGGCATCCTCAACCATGAAACCTTTGGGTTCTTCTAGGTGTTTCTAAGGGTTTCTTGATCTGTGACTGATTGATCCCTTATTTGATGATGCTTGCATAGTTTCAAGGCCAAAGCCAGCATGGTATGCCACAGTATAACACCATGAACGTTTTAAGCTGTCTGCAAGGGTAACATTCTAACCACCACTGTGAGGGTTGCATTCGTCCCACTGACCATCAATGTAAGGGACATTTTCGCTACTGACCACCAGTGTAAGAAGCATTCTTCCTACTGACCACCAATGTAAGGAGCATTCTTCTCACTGACCACCAATGTAAGGAGCATTCTTCCCACTGACCACCAATGTAAGAAGCATTCTTCCTACTAACCACCAATGTAAGGAACATTCTTCCCACTGATCACCAATGTAAGGGACATTCTTCCCACTGGCCACCAATGTAAGGAACATTCTTCTCACTGATCACCAATGTAAGGAGCATTCTTCCCACTGATCACCAATGTAAGGAGCATTCTTCTCACTGACCACAAATGTAAGGAACATTCTTCTCACTGACCACAAATGTAAGGGACATTCTTCCCACTGATCACCAATGTAAGGATCATTCTTTAAGGATCATTCTTCCCACTGATCACCAATGTAAGGAACATTCTTCTCACTGACCACCAATGTAAGGAGCATTCTTCCCACTGACCACCAATGTAAGGAACATTCTTCTCACTGATCACCAATGTAAGGAGCATTCTTCTCACTGATCACCAATGTAAGGGGCATTCTTCCCACTGATCACCAATGTAAGGAACATTCTTCCCACTGATCACCAATGTAATGAACATTCTTCTCACTGATCACCAATGTAAGGAGCATTCTCCTTACTGATTACTAATGTAAGGGGCGTTCTTCTCACTGACCACCAATGTAAGGAGCATTCTTCCCACTGACCACCAATGTAAGGAACATTCTTCTCACTGATCACCAATGTAAGGGAGATTCTTCCCACTGACCACCAATGTAAGGGGCATTCTTCCCACTGACTACTAATGTAAGGGGCGTTCTCACTGACCACCAATGTAAGGGGCATTCTTCTCACTGATCACCAGTGTAAGGAGCATTTTCCTCACTGACTACTAATGTAAGGGGCATTTTTCCCAAAGGCCACCAATGTGAGGAACATTCTTCCCACTAATCCCTATTGTATAGGCTTTAGCAGAAGTTCCCTGAGACATTAATTTTATTTTAAGTGTTTTTCTGGGATAATAAGATTGGGAAAGGCTGCATTAGCCAAAGCAAGCATGTAACCCTTTCACTGCTGGGGAAGCTCTACTGCACAATGAATTTTAAGGAGAGCTGGAGCTCAGTTTTAATGCAGAATCCCAACTCATGTGTGCTCTTCCTCTAAAAGCTAGTTCCCTAGTATCTCAAAAATCAGTGCAGTGCTTTACTACAGGAGCCTGGGAATGCAACTCTCGTTGTCACAAGTGGTTCTACCTTTTCTAAGTTGCTGGTCTTCCTATTGGCTGCAGAGTGTGAGAACCAGTTTTATTGGCCACACAAAGTGGTGGGTCTCCTGTTTTCTAATTTTTCGGTAATTAGGGGACTTTATCGAAAGCAAGTGTATGTGCAGGTACTGGAAGAAGCTCTGCCACCCAATGACTATGTGTTAAGGGTTGACTTTAAGTCTGCAAATATACATTTGACCAAGATATTTGGGACCCACTGAGTTTCACTGGCACAATGTCTCATCACTTTTGCTATTGTTGCATGCGCTTCTTGGGCGGGCATTTGACTGGATCAGAACAATTGTGCAATGCACATGGCACTTTTTATTTATTTTTACTATTTATCATGGGCACCTAAACGACACTTGATGAGGTTGTATTTTTTTTTCTCTCACAAAGACCGAAGGTGCAGGTTATCATGAACTGCCCTGACATCAAGGATAGGATCTGTAGCCTTCAGGCCTTTTTCCTCTCCCCATCTGAGGGTCTTTTTTCTAGAGAACCCTCACCAAGTATCTGGAGAACCAGCTTTGACAGGAACCTAAGGAGTGAGGTCCACCTGGCTTTGGCCAAGGTAGACCAGAATACCTTGCCCCTGTCAGAAGCCATGTACCCCTCAATCTTCAAGAGTTGAACCTTCGTGCACTTTTTTCAGTGTGCTGTGATTTCATGGTTCACTTTTTTTGTTCACAGGGTTTAACTGCGGAGCTCAGTAGAAAAAAAAATCACATTGATCAAGATATTATTTATGTGATCACTGTATGTTTGATTGATTATTTGAATGGCAGCAAAATTCAGAAGAAATGGAGTTACAAAAGCAAAAACATTCCAGGCCAGTTACACAAGGAATTAAATTGTAATGATCACACAATCTGAAAATCCTAGGGGATAATTACCAAACACTGGACTAATAGTAGAGCTGCCAATCAAGACCAAACAGTTTTAAAGTGAAACTGAATTTCGCCCATGAATACTTTAATAGTGCTCGCAGTAGCCACATATACTCACCTTGCTCGTTAGCTATCCATTCTGACTCATGCCATTCCATGCATTAATAAAGTTGAGGCCCTAGATATGAGTTTTTGGTAAATTATAACAGGGCAAAGTAGCTGCGGTAAGACTACTCACCACAAAACAAAACATTGATATGGCTCTGCACCAGGGGCGGACTGACAACTCATGGGGCCCCCGGGCAATAGGGGATCATGGGGCCCCTGTGTCCTTGCCCCTCAAAAAAGCCTATGAAAAAGGTACCAGGGGCATCTCATGGGGCCCCCTACTGACCCCGGGCCCTCGGGCAGTGCCCAAGTTTCCAAATGGTCAGTCCACCCCTGGCTCTAACTCATTATCAGTGCTGACTAGTCTTCAGCTTGTGCTGTGTGTTCTGACCTGTGTCTTGCATCTGATTCCTGTTACTGTCCCTGATCTCCCTTTACCTGATCTTTGATCCTGTTCCTAGTTCCTGGCCTTGGCTTCATCCACGACTTATCGACTGCCTCTGATTTTGCTCCACAATTTCACAGTGCACCAGCTTTAGACGCACCTAGTGTCAGCTTCAGTCACCTGTACATAGTCCTGTCACCTGCTCACTGGGATCCCTCGTGAACTTTGCCCACCTGAATCTGCATCTCAACTGGCTTTTCCCTTTAACTTCTGCTGGTGGACACAGGCCTGATGTTCTGCTGGATCTACTGGACTGGATCTTCTGTCTTGAGGTTCTGCCATCTACATCTATCGGCACTTGTGTTCCTTCTGTCCCTCAGCAATGTCTGTTCAACTTCCAGAGGTGCTTGGGCTGGAGGTACAAGAGAGGTCACCCTGGTCATTTCTGTATCCTATCAGGTATGTGACAGATGAATGAGAATGGGGATTAAGAATTGGGAATCCATGTATATACAATCTAACAAGAGTGCCAAATGGAAGGTCCAAAAGTCCCACCTCTTCTTCAGGGTTTTGTAGCCCCGAAAAAGGTGTAGAGAGCGTTGGGCCCCTGAAACAAGTTGGCTCTTTTATGTTATCTGCTTGAGAACCAATATATTTATTTAAAAATGTTGGATTCTTTCTGTTTGGTGCTCTCAGATTGTATTCATGCCATTCCATGACAGCTGTGGTGATGGTGTTTGGTCACCCAGGGACCTATCATTCTCACATGGGGAGAGAGAAGAGAATCAACTTGGGGCTTCTGCTTGGCTTCCTCTCTTCACTTCCAGAAGAAAAGGCAAATGAGAATGTACAGCTAGTTGGGCGAACATTAAAGTGTACTTATTGATATTGCCCTACATGGGTTCAATGTAAAGCTGAATTCCAAGTAACTGGCTAAAAACATATATGGGGGCTATTTTCCCTGGCAAAGGATTTGTAATTCTGCCCATCCAGTTCCTAAATTGATATAGCACTGCCTACGGCACAGCCCTTTCTGGCAGGGTAGGGGACTAGATTTCTCTCTACCTAGATTATTATTAAAGTGGAAGTAAAGTCCACTTTATATATGAAGGCTTACCTGTAGGTACAGTGAATATCTCCTAAACGTGCACCATGGAGGACATATTCTCACAGCATACAGCCGGTGATGTCACCGGCGCATGCGCTGTGAAGGTATGGCACACTGTGCTGTCCCTTCAAATCTCCATGTCGCAGCCTAGGGCTCCTGCGCGCATGTGCGAGAGTGACGTCATCGATACTGTCAGAGCCCGTGAACCCGGAAGGAAGACTGGGTGAAGATGGTAGCGCCGGAGACTTGTGACAGCACGGTGCTGGAGGGTTCTGTCCAGGGGCGGACTGACAACTCATGGGGCCCCCGGGCAATAGGAGATCATGGGGCCCCTGTGTCCTTGCCCAAACTCAAAAAAGCCCATGAAAAAGGTACCAGGGGCATCTCATGGGGCCCCCTACTGACCTCGGGCCCTCGGGCAGTGCCCCGAGTTTCCAAATGGTCAGTCTGCCCCTGGTTCTGTCTACAGGCAAATCTGTCACGATGTACTATTATGCGGTGCATGCTAGTAAATTATTTTTGTGGGCAGTTTACTAATGAAAGGAGACGCAGCATACTAGTGAGCTCACTCTGCTCTCTACTGCTGTCAGACTGCTCATTGTCAGTACCTGATCACTGCAGCACAATTGACTGTTGTCAGAGCTTGATACCAAGTCAGATTCAGGTATTTAAACTACTTACATTTTGAAAAAATATATTTTTTTGATGTATGGATAAATACAGAGATGCACTGATTTATGTTGAAGGAAGGAAAGAGGATGTTATGGGCATACGAGACACTTTTGCCATTTGTATTTTTTTACACAGTTTATGGGTGTTTGGGATACCAGTGCAAATGAGAACTTCACAAGGAGCAGAACTTACATAATAATAAATACCAAAAATCAGCACTGAAACCCTTGGCCCATCATCAGAATTTTTTCAAGTTAAATCCAATTTTTTTTGTTTTTTTCGGGTCATAGCAAAACAACTTCATGAAAGCAAAATTATTACAAACTTAACACCAGGGGGTTGATTTACTAAATGCAAACAAGCTGCTCACTTTGCATTATCCCTTACCCTAGCAGGGGCGGACTGACAACTCATGGGGCCCCCAGGCAATAGCGGATCATGGGGCCCCTGTGTCCTTGCCCAAACTTAAAAAAAGCCTATGAAAAAGGTACCAGGGGCATCTCATGGGGCCCCCTACTGACCCCGGGCCCTCGGGCAGTGCCCGAGTTTCCATATGGTCAGTCCGCCCCTGTACCCTAGTGAATGCGGTAAAAGTTCACTTGACAAAGGATACCCAATCACATGCAAAAGAAAAAAATATATTTTTGCCTGCACATGATTGGATGATGAAATTCACTGATCTATAGGGAAAATTCCCTTAGAAAATGAACAACCTGTTTGCCTTTAGTAAATCAACCCCTAAATGTCCATGATATGACTGTAAATGTGTCACCAAAAAGATTTTGCCAATAGGTAAAAGGTATATAAAGCTGACAAATAACTGAGTACATATACAGTAGTATGTAGCATGACCAGTGAACAAAAACATAATTGTCAAAACTGATGTCCAACTGCTTATAAATCCATACAACAATTCAGTCCATAATGGCAACAGTTGTACCCAAATTAAAATTATATCATTTTTTTCACATGATCCATAATGGCAACAGTTTCAGAAGCATGTACTTAGAGCACAAAAAAAAATTTGAAAAAAAAAACAAAACATCAAATTATCCACTTGAGCTCTGAATGTTTTTACCCCTTTCATGACCAGGCCATTTTTTTTGCTATTCTGCACTGCGCTACTTTAACTGGTAAATGCATGATCATGAAATGCTGGACCCAAACGAAATTTCTATCATTTTTTTAACACAAACAGATCTTTCTTTTAGTGGTATTTGATCACCACTGTTTTTTTATTTTTTGCTATATCAATGAAAAAAGACTGAAAATTATGAAAAAAAAAACCCAATATTTCCTGGTGCCCAAACATGGCAGCATACAGGTATGCTGCCATGGATGGGCTCCAGGAAAGGAAAATTATGGTAAGTATTTGATAAAATTTTCCAGGTTTTTTACTTTCTGCTATAATTCATATCCAATACAAAATTTCCAAAATCAAATTTCTTCA